CACTTGAGACAGGGCGACCCCCCTGACCCGGAGAAGGCACTCTGCCCTTCAATAAATCTTCAATTAACAAAATAAGACAAAAAGCTTACTCCTTTCTCAAGCAACAATTCATATTAATAATAATAAACCAGAATATATTATAAATACATTTAACTTGAGAAGGAGTGGGAAGACAAAAATAGTGGTGAGCTAGTTTGGCTAAGTGGACCTTAGTTGGGTATTATTTWGCCTGATTGACTTTTTCCTTTTGTCTGTTTTCAAAAAGGCAGGATATTCTCACCCAGACATGTCACAAAGACACATATTGACCTGTCTCTATGTCCCGACAGCATACAAAGAGAAGATGAAGGAGCTGTCCGTCCTCTCCCTCATCTGCTCCTGCTTCTACCCAGAGGCACGCAAGAAGCTCGTCTGCGAGTTTGAAGGTATGCATCGATTTTCTGTTCGCCAAAGCAAACCGTCCCCAAGAATGTTTCTCTGCAAACAGAGGCATTAATATTTATTAACCTGATATGCTAATGGACGTATTGATTTTTGGTGGCAATATCACGGTAATTGTCTGATTTGCAGACATGGAGGTGAAGTCTATAGACAAGCGAGCCTCGGGACAGGCCTTCGAGGTGATTCTCAAGCCCTTGTCTCCAGTGTCGGATGTAGCCCACAGCCTTCCCTCACCCCCAAAGAGGGATATCTCCTTGGAGGATATTGAGAAGAAGCTGGAGGCCGCCGAAGAGAGAAGAAAGGTATTTATCTTTATATCAAACACCTTTGGGTGTATTTAAAATGGACARCAATTTAACTGCATGGGTTTGTTTTTGGTCGCGTCTTTTAGTACCAAGAGGCCCAGGTGCTGAAGGTCCTGGCAGAAAAGCGAGAGCACGAGAGGGACGTGTTACTAAAGGCTATGGAGGAGAACAGCAACTTCAGCAAGATGGCTGAGGAGAGGCTCCAGATGAAGATGGAGCAGATTAAGGAGAACCGTGAAGCCCACCTGGCAGCCATGATGGAGCGCCTAATGGAGAAGGTGGGAGCCGTAGAATCATCTGTTAGAGATAAATSCACACCTARATGCACTGATATTAAARTACCTGTGACATCAAATTTTTGTAATAAACATGAAAGCATTTTTTGAAAGATAGCATCGACAACATATTGCAAAACAAATTTCATGTTGTTGAGATGAACGGTTGTTGAGTTTTTTGCATGTGAAGAAACAGGAAGTGATGTCAAAGGSGAATGTCAGCATGTAAACACAGCGTTGTTACAAAAGCTAACAACACAGACTGTAGAGCAGAATCTGATGTTTCTTCAGATTATTTTTAGTCGCTATCAAAGAGAGATGAAGAAGAGTCAAAGTTTATATAATGTTGCTTTACTAAACAAAGACCAGCGACTTTATTTTATTAACGAGTTCTCCTTTGATGTCACTTCCTGTTTCACTTTGGTTGAGCCAAATTCAAAAGAAAATATGAGACAAAATGGGTAAAATCGTGTGGCTTTGTTTGTATGTTTCAGGAGAAGCATGCCAACGAAGTGCGCAAGAACAAAGAGCTGAGGGAAGTGTTGCTAGCATGAGCGTCTCACAAATCCTGACTTCTGTCCGTCCATCAACGACTTGTCCCCAACCTCTCCGAAACAGACAGTTTACCCTGAAGGCTGAGAGGCTCAAGGATCTCACCTTTACATCACTGCACCTTCTATCACGACAAAATACTCACAACTATCAATAGAAATAATACAAACTTCAACGACTCCCTTTTGTTGATGATGGTAGACTTTTAATTTGTAAATTCTTATTTTCTATCTATCTATCTATCTATCTATCTATCTATCTATCTATCTATCTATCTATCTATCTATCTATCTATCTATCTATCTATCTATCTATCTATC